ATCATTCGAATTGATTGGGTATTGTTATTTACTATCCCACTTCTAAATCTGAAATTATGACATTTTTCAATAGAGCAGATCTTACTCAATTGTTTTCTTTGGGAGGGTTGTTGCTGACAACTTGCCAACACTTGTTTATTTTGTAAGGTTTAGTTTCCTTTTGGGGAAGTATAGCCAGTAAGCTTTTCTCTCATTAGGTTTTATCAAATGGCAGAATGTGTGGTTTCTTCACTAAGATTTGTACCTCTCTCTCTCTCTCTCTCTCTCTCTCTCTTTCTCTCTCTCTCTCTCTCTTCTATCTTTTTGGCATCCTATCAAAGTTATGTACTTAGTGATTTCCTTCTGAAGCCATCTGCCAAGGCAGTGAACAGCTCTGCTTTTTTTTCCCAGAGCATCTCTGACATAACAACCACTCAGATAAATGAGTATTCTCAGCTTGACTGGCTCTGCTGGCCAGAATCTCTGGAGGGAGTGCCAATGCATGATGTCACTTTGATAGCCACAGTATAAAAAGTTAGAAAGATGGATTGTTTTTGTCTTCACAGTTTCTTTCTCTTCTTTGCACTATTAACTTCACTTGGAAGATGGTGCAGTGAGCTGACTGCAGCCTTTCTATGTTGAAAATGATGAGAGTAGGCTGGGGACTTTATGAGGGATAGTGTAAAATTGACTTAAATACAATGGTCTCTGGCAGGTTTTACTCATTACACCTTTTTATTTATCTGTTTTTGCCAAGATTAGTGTTTGCATTCATATTTGCATGGCTTACTTAAACTGAGGCTCTACCACCTTGAGCCACAGTCCCCTCCCAGATCTTTTGCTGATTTTTGGTGCTGGTCCTGGGACTTGAAGTCAGGACCTGGGGGCTGTCCCAGGTCTAATAGTCTACTAATAGTCTACTGCTAATAGTCTACTGCTTGAGACACAGCTTCAGTTCTGGACTTTTGGAGGTTAATTGGAGATATGAGTTTGACAGACTTTCGTGCCTGGCCTGGCTTCAAACTGCAATTCTCAGATCTCAGCATTCTGAGTAGCTAGAAGTAGCCGTGGGTGCTCCACTCTACTGATTACTTTTGAGATAGGATATTGTGGGCTCCAGTTGGCTTTGAACCATGTTCTGCATCTCAGTCTTCTGAGTAGCTATTACAGGTAGAAACAAGTACATCAATAAAATTATTACTTTTAATTTCCATTTTATTTTACCAACAAAAAATGAAGGAAGGTTGTTTAGAAAAGAGTTTTATGTCAGGTATATAGGTATATAATAGTAATAATAATATAATAATAACTATAGTTTACGGTGTGATAAAGTGGAAGTCTGTATTTTAACTTAAAAAATCCACTTGTTTTTCTCTTTAAGGAAAAAACTATTATAGAATTATGTCAATGGAAGATTTACTTTAGATTATTCTCACTTGCTATAACACTGTACCCAAGTATGGAAAATTTATCAAGAAGACATGTTTATTTTGTCTCACATTTCTGGAGACTGAAGTCCAGGGCACTGATACTGACTTAGCTTTTGGAAAGGACCCCATTGTATCCTATCACAGAAGAAATGCAGAAAGGGGTAAAGGGCACATGTGGAAGGCTCTTGAAGGAGAGAAAGACGATGCTGCTCTACCTTAAAAGTAAACTACTCTTTAGTAACTAGCATTCTACTGAAAGACTTAAACTCACTCTGTGAAACATAATCCATTCACGAGAGAACTGAATTGCTCAAGAATGACAATTGATTTGGAAGGGGTGCCTTTCAGAACCTCAACACCTTTCCCTGGGACCCCCCTCTTAAATGTCCCCTTTATGTCATTTCAGTTCCTCTCCATGCCACATCATTGGAGCCAGTTTCCAGCACCCAAGCCTTTTGTAGAGAAGCCTAAGAAAGGCAGAGCAAAACTTTAGAAGTCATTTGCTCCTCCTTATTTTATTTTAGTGGAAAGCTAAGTCAGTTTTTGGGACTTGATTAATCCAAACTGAGGAGTAGAATTCTGGTCTTGTGGTTTCAAGTTATGCTTCCTTAATAAGTTTCCCCTTTTCTTCTTAGCAAATTTGTTGTTTCTAAGATTAGAAATGGTTATTTCAGGATTTGAAGACATATATTATGTACTTTTCAGTTAATATTCCACAAAAGTATATGTGATGAAAAAATTAAGATTTTTGCTTCACCAAAAAGTCTACCATTGGCAGTAGGTAAGCAAATATGTTGGATGAAATGCTAAATATTTATCAATAATCACTTATCTGTAAATATAGCCAACATCAGGAATGTGAGAGTAAAACTACTGGATTAGATTCACTCTCAGAAAATAAAAGAAATTGTAGTACATGGCTTATTTTGGGATATGATTAAAATACATTAGCAAACTCTTCCAAATATGTAATATACTGTAAACATATGTCAGGGACAATTTAAAACAATCTGATTAAGGATGCTATAGAATTCTTCTTGGACAATATTAAAGTAGAATTGAAAATAATTATTTATTGCTTATGGAGTATCTGCAAGTTTCTGTCTATGGAAGTAGAATTCACAAGCTATGTAAAATGGGTTTAAACATATTCCTCCAAATTTTCTCCACTATTACAGTTCATTATGAGAACTGGTAAAATGAAACAATCTCTCTATTTTAAGAGTGTTCAGATTAAAAATAACAAAATAGTAGGATGATTAATCTAATGCAAAATTACATTCTATCACTGTTTACTAAATATTTAATTATTTAGTAATTGTATTGGTTATTAAAGTATTATTATTATTTAGCATAATACTAGTGCCAAGTACTAACATTCTAGTGGTAGGGATAGGGATGGAGAAGATAACCTCAAATCTAAGGATTGCCTTTTAGAAAAGTTCATAATGACACAGAAGAAAAGGACCCAAAGTATTTCTCACATGTTATGAAGGGGTTTATATGGTTAGGATTCTGTATGGTTAGGATTCTTTTGAGAACATTTTAGACATTATAAAGAGTTCCTAATGGAAATGGTAATCGATAGCACATGCCATTTAGTAAATAATCTTGAACACTTAATACACAAAAAGATCCAATTCTTAAAGACAAAAAAGTCAGCTTTCATGATCTAGAACACACTAGACTGCATTCAGAGTCCTCGTAGTTCAATCATGCTTATAGTTTGTAATTTCGACAGTTTCAGATAGTTAATCAAGTAATTAGACTGAAAGGTAGTATGTCCTTTTTGATCCAGAAGTATATATTATATAACATTATTCTATTTCTTGCAAGTACTCAAGTAACAAGAATTCCATAATGATTTTATAAGTAAATAATTAAATATAAATATGGAATTCTAATTTGCAGTATATCTAACTCCATGGTGATTTTCTTTTCTTCTGTTATTTGGAGAAAGTTTTTGTTAGCTAAAAAAGCATTGTGTTTAATCAGAGAAATCAGGGGTGAATTGTGCATATTATTTTCAGTATTTCAAGGTGTTAATATAGACATTTGTTTATTGCACTTATTAGTAATTATTTTCACTGTTTTTTTTTCTTTTTTTGGCTATCAATCTAGAGTGTAGGTTTGTTTCCAAATAGGGTTTGTTATTCTAAACAAGTAAAATATTATATGTGGGAGAATTCTGTAAACCACTTAAGAAAAAAGAGTAGGTTCGTATTCTAGTTTTTTAATCAAAAAATGAGGAATTATACATGAAAACTGGACATATATTTTCTAATTTTGTTGGAAGATAATGACTGGTCATATTTTTATGTTTTCTTTTTAATGAAGTAATATTACCCACCATAAAAATTTGACAAGTAACACAACTAGTTTTAACATCTTAAATAATTACACATTTTAAATCAACTCCTGGTAATTTTATCTAAAAAGTAATTATTCAAAGTCAATATACACAATTAAAAACCATTTTACTCAAAGACAGAACATTAACTATATTATTCTTTTTTAATTTAAATTTTATTGTAAAGGTGATGTAGAGAGGAGTTACAGTTACATGAGTTAGGTAACAAGTACATTTCCTTTTAAATAGTGTCTCCCTCTCCCTCATTGTCTCCCAATTTTTCCCCCTCTGACTTCCCTTCCCCCAAATTGTATAGTTCATTTCCAAGGTATAGTCTAATGAGAATCACTGCTGAATTGGTTCAACCTTTGTGGCACCCTTTCAATACTTCCTCATTCCCTCCCCAAATCAGATAAACAAGACAAAGGGTACAGAAATAAAAAATAATAATAGTGACAAAAGGTAATAAAAAGGAAAGAAAAAAAAGAAAGAAAAAAAAACCTGCAACAGTACAGAAAAAACAACAACAACAACAAACTCTTGTTTCCATTTCTTGGAGTACACTTTGATTCTTTTTTTTTTTTTGGTCATGGGGCTTGAACTCTGGTCCTGGGCACTGTCCCTCAGCCCTTTAGCTCAAGGTGAGCGCTCTACCACTTGAGCCACAGCATCACTTCCTTGGAGTTCATTTTGATAAGCACAATTTTATATAATCATATACTCATAGTTATGAGCCCTTGTGATCTTCTCTTAAGAATATCCTTCTTATCACTGTGTGAATGTTTAGAGCGCTGTCTAATAACAAATATTATCTTAATCTTAATTTACATTTTGTATTGATTATATTTTGTAATGGATTCTTTTTGCATATAATTTTTAATTCTTGAGGGATGAGAAGCAGAGAAAAAAAGCTATCTTTTTAATTTTACTTACTTGTTTTCAAGCAGCCTGACTCAAAGGGTCACAGACAGTAAATGAAAAAATAGCTGACAAAACTAATGTTATATAATACATACATTTCATTCCTTTCTATTTTTACTGAAAAGGCTATGATGTTCATCAAGCTTAATGCCAACCTCAGTGAGTATAAAGGCAAATAATCAAAATCTGTATTTCTATTTTTGAAGAAAGTGCTCCCATTTTTTAAATCAGCATTTACAAACAGGGCAGCACTGTTAATGTTAATATTGAGCTGTTTTTTTATGATCTCTAATTCTTTGATTTGATGTTTTGGTTAACAGATATTCCACATGACATATGACCTTGCTAGTGCGGTGGTAAGGATTTTTAATCTCATCGGCATGATGCTGCTTCTGTGTCACTGGGATGGTTGTCTTCAATTTTTGGTCCCATTGCTGCAGGATTTCCCACCAGATTGCTGGGTGTCACTCAATGAAATGGTTGTAAGTACTTCGTATTATTTTTACCTCCTACCTTTTCAACCTTTTGCCTAAATCATTCAAGTACGTATGCTAGAATAGTCTGCTGCCTCATCCATAAATGTTTAAAGAATTCTTGACTTTGCTTCTATAGATATGAAACCACATGCTTTTTGTTCAACACAATTTCATTCTCATGCTCTCTGCAATGTGTATCTTTCAGCACCTATTTTCATAAGATTTGCTCTGTGTGTGTATTGGGACATGTTCTATTTCACAAGTACAAATATACACATAATCATGATACATGCTTTATCGAAACTATTCCTCAGATAATTCCTTTTATGTTTTGAGCTTTATTTTCAGCTTTTAATATTCTCTAAGCAAAGTTGTAGATATTGTCAAACATACCAAGGCATATTCCTCAGTACACAAAAAATGAGATATGTATGAAGTTCATTGATGTTTAACACATTATTTTACCGGGAATAACAAGGATTAGTTCATGGAAACGGTGCATTTGGCAATGTTGGCAATAGTTTTAAAGGCATATATTATATATATATATATATATATATATATATATATATTA